GAGGGCCTGCAGGCCCTACCCCGTTTCAGCCTATTTCTGGGTCTTTTCAGACCCAGAGTTTTCAGCCTGAAACAGAGGGCCATTTTCAGGCCCTCATTGTTTCGACCTGCCCCTAAGACTCAGGCACGTAAACAAGGATGCGGAACAGGCCAGAAATAGCCTGTTCCTCACAAATTTGAGCAGGAGCTGCAGCTGCAGCCCCTGCCTCCCTTCGGCAGGCTCAGGAGGCACACCCGGTAGTACATAGGAAGTTCTCATGCACTTCACGGGTAGGGAGTTCAGTAGGCACGAGGTAGTCTTCAGGAATTCGTCTGCAGCACTCACGAGGAGCGCTGTAGTAGTCTTCAGCGCTAGGTGGTATTAGCGCTAGCTGTAGTCTTCGGCGCTGGGCGCCATAGCTGTAGTTGTAGTCTTCAGCGTTGGGCGTTGGTAGGTGGTATATCGTAGAGTGGGAGAGATTGGCGGAGGCCTGTGATACTTACTGGAGAGAGAGAGAGAGAGAGAGAGAGAGAGAGAGAGAGAGAGAGAGAGAGAGAGAGAGAGAGTTCTTCTTCTTCCTCTTCTAAGTCCACCTTCTGTTCTCACACTCTCGCCACCTGACTTCTCAGACTATGACAGAGAGAGACAGAGTTTTGACTTGAGACTTGACGACATTGGATTAAGACTTGACATTTGGGATTCAGACATTTCGACGAGGGACTATTTGGGCTTATGCCGAAGACTTGGTGTTGACGACATTCCCACTTTCCCCTTTCTCTTCGTCTATCCCCTTCCTCTTCGTCTGTGTATGGTATGGGCTGGCGCTCACACTATGTAACGATGATGATGATGTATGTTCAGGGCTGCATTGCAACATTGATTGTTCGGATCACTGGTATCTAAGTCTTCCGTTGTGCTATCTTATACTTTGTATTGAAAGGTCGGTTCTTGTTCTGGTCTGCACGTTACAGTATGCAACAGCTAGTTTTCTTTGGAGTCTAGCAACTCCCTTCATTCCCTTTCTCTTCACTTGTTTGTCCTTTCATAGGGCGGGGTTGTTCCTTCTCAAACGGTGTTCATGTTGGTTCCTTCAAGCATTTCAAAGTGCAAAGTGCAAGAGCCCGCTGGGCTTAAAGAAGAGGAGAGAAGGGCACCCATTCGGTCGGATCACTCCGCCGCGGGATTTTCATTGGACCCGGCCGAAGCCGAAGCACCAACCGCCTGCCAGGTAACTGGAGCCCTTCTTTCATACGAAGAGGAAGGGTCGAAGGATCGACCTGCGACCTGCCCAAGGCTTCCCCGGACTGGCGAACACCAACACCGGACGAAGGAGGGCTAGAGCCATTTCCCAAGGGGGATGGCTAATCAAGTGCAAATCATGCATGTTATAGCTCCAGGCCTGGCCATGCCAGGCGCCAAGCCACTCTCAAATCCGATTCTCACAAGGGAAAGAGCAAACACAAGTCCAATTTCCTTGTCTTTAGTTGTGTACACGTCCTTGCGCCGGGCGCCCCCTTCGGAATCGCAAGGGTCAGTTTAACCCCATGCCCGTCATCTCCACCATTTTTGTAGGGCCAAACCCCGGTAGACTTTCGAGCCTTAGTCGACCCCACTGCGGGTCCCATTTGGCTCAGCCCGCCCACGCTTATGCTCAGGGCGCGGGCCATTCGTCCCAGGGTCACCCCCACCTAATGCTTTGAGATGGATGGGAGTGGGCCATCGCGCGAGAGAGCTTTGACATTAGTGATCTCTCCCCTATGTGCATGTGCTTTTCAGTAGTTCTATCTTCGCATTGTCAAGTTCATGTGTGTTGTGATGTTCCGGTTGATACTTAGTTGATCTCTTCTCTATGTGCATGTGCTTTCCATTAGTTGTAGCTTCTCATTGTCAAGTTCATGTGTGTTGTGATGTCCCGGTGCATACTAAGTGATCTCTCCCCTATGTGCATGTGGGCATACTAAGTGATCCTCTTTTACTTTTTATTTTCTTTTCTTGTGGGCATACTAAGTGATCCTCTTTTACTTTTTATTTTCTTTTCTTTTCCCTCCACTTGTGGGCAGTTGGGACTTGGCAGTCCCTACTTGCTGCAGTCCCAATTGACGGCCAACTCACTCATCCTCTCTCACCTCCCATTTTCTTTTCTTTTTCTTTTAGCATGCCAAGTGTCCACTAGCCGTTAAAGCCCTTTTCTCTTTTTTTTTCTTTTTTTTTTTCTTTTTTCTCCTCTCTTGGACAGTTGGGACTTGGCAATCCCTACTTGCTGCAGTCCCTACTAACGGCCAACTCACTCACTCCCTCTCACTCTCCTTGCCCTATTCTCCCACATTTCCTTTTCCTTTTCCTTTTTCTTTTTCTTTTTGCATGCCAAGTGTCAACTAGCCGTTAAGGCCCTTTTCTTGCCTCTTCCTCTTAGTTTTGGCCCTTCCTATGCCCAAGGGTCAGTCCGTTATTTTTCAGACTGCAGTTGTGGCCGTACTTTGCCCTTGGGAGCCAACGTTAGCTTTTCTCTTTCCCAAACGGTAGCCCCCCATGCACCGATTTTTCCCGGGGGGCCTATTTTTCTCATGTTGGTCCTTTTGGCCCCGTTTTCTTGGGGGAGGCCAGTCCGAGATTTTTCGGATTGCTCCCATGCCTCTAGCACTTGTTTTCTTTACTTTTTATTTTTCTTTTAGCCTTCCCGCTTGCTCCCACTAGTGCTTGCACTAGTGTTGCTAATAATTTTGGCCGTTAAGATCTCCGATCTTGACGGTGCAACTTGTTTTATTATTTTTTTTTGCACTGCATACCATGCCGTCATTTATCCTCGGGACGTCACAGGTCCCCGCCACTTGTCCCGCACTAGTCCCCGACACTAGTCCCCGATACTAATCCCGCCGGTACTTGTCCCGCCGGTACCGCCTTTTCCGCCTAGCCTCACGTGGTCCCCGACACTGGTCCCGTGCTAGTATCGTCATTATTATTATTTTTGCTTAGCCCCTCATGGTCCCCGACACTGGTCCCATTGGTGCCACGTGGTCCCCGGTACTTGACCCATTGGTGCCGCACCTCTGCTAGGTCCCATGTGGTCCCCGACACTTGACCCATTGGTGCCGCCCCTTTGCTAGGTCCCATGTGGCCCCCGACACTTGACCCATTGGTGCCGCCTCTTTGCTAGGTCCCATGTGGTCCCCGACACTTGACCCATTGGTGCCGCCCCTTTGCTAGGTCCCATGTGGCCCCCGACACTTGACCCATTGGTGCCACCTATTTGCTAGGTCCCATGTGGTCCCCGACACTTGACCCATTGGTGCTGCCTCTTTGCTAGGTCCCATGTGGTCCCCGACACTTGACCCATTGGTGCCGTATGGTCCCATCGATGTTCCTGTCGTCTTTCCTCCTTATGGCGGCCTCCTCCCCTTGTGTCTTCTTGCGTCTTGCGCACCGTCCTCCCCGGGTGTGGATCCTTACTTGGCCTGTGGCCCCCTCGGTCTTCTTGGCGCTGCGTCCCAGTGACCCTCTCGGCCTGGCTACCTTTTCTCATGCCGACACCTTACTATCTCTACTCCCTTTCTCTTTCCATTGCGGCGTGCGCCTCATGACGCTACTTCTTTCGGCGGTCCTTCTCCTTTTTCGAGGGAAGGGTCGCCTTTGCCATTTTCTTGCGGTCCTTTGCTGCCTCCCGTTCCGTTAATTTCCTCGCGGTTCCATGGCCCCAGCGACTCCGAGCAGCCTCTAGATCCAAGTGCCTGTGCCTATGCCTTCAATTCTTCCAACACTCTTGCCTCCGGTTTTCTCTGCCGTGCGCAATTTCATCCTATACAGCCTCTCAAGTGACGGGAAGTTATTCGGGACTCACCAGTCCCGACACCGGTAATGTCGTGAGCAATTTGGCGGGGGACCTTGACCCCTACCTCCCTCTTGGCGGTTTCCTCTACCGCCAACCCCCTGAGCGCCCTGTCCTCGGCCACCTGAGGCTCGGCCCCCTTGGCCCCGGCGTACCCCTGCGGCCTCCCTCCATCCGCGACAGCAGCGTAGATCCTCCCCTGACCCCCACTACTGTCCTCCTCCTCTAGGCCCCACTCAATATGGTTGTATGGGACCTCGTCTGTACCACCCTCGTCTAACGTAAGGATCAAATGATCCTTGGCCCTAACCTGGCCAGAAATAGTACGACCCTTCCACTTTTTGCCCTTGTCCAGGTCCTTGCGCCAGAAAGTGCAAACTGGCATGCACTGCGCCTCGAACAACACCACCTCTCTACTCAACGCATCATATGTCATGGTGGGCTGTCGACTCTTCTCGAAAAAGTGCACCCGTAGGGGCTCTGGCATGGCACAAAAGAAGAGATTGACCAACTTGGGCTCAGTGACCCCATGGTCTGGAACGGCTACAAGCTCGTCCATTACGCCTTTGAGTGATTTGGTACTCCTCCACTGGCATGAGTGGATAGTCTGCAGTTTGTCAGAGGCCCTAACGCCTCGCGTGAGGGGTGATCTTATAATAAGTGACCATGTTATTCTTGCACTGTGTAGCGCGAGCGAGCGATCTAGTAAAGTTGGCGGCCTCATCCTTGAGGGCTTGGAAGGTGATGAGGACCTGTTCCTCTGGCACTATGTGCTGTAAATAAACGTATGTATTTACGTTGGCCTCCCAATTATCGAAATTTTCCTCTTTCTTCCCGTCGTAGGACTCAGGAAACTTCATCTTAAGCAGCTCTCTACGAGGGCGTAGCTCTTCCTCCTTTGGTACAGCCAGCTTTGCGCTCTCAGTGACGCCTGTACAAAACTTCTTTGTGCCCTCCAATCTCGCCTGCACCTCAGCACCTACGTGCCGCATCATCTCATGTGCGAAATCTCGAAAGCCTAAGCGTATGGAGTGTAAGGTCATATCTTGGGCTCTCGAAAACTGATACTGCTCCTCCCAAGCCCTAGCTAAGAGCTCAATGTTCCTATACATAATATCTAGTTTCCCTTGTATGTCAGCTTGTGCCTGGATCTGCGCTCGTTGCTCCTTCATCACCTCCAACTCCCTCGCTATTTGACTCGCCTCATCCATCCTTCTGTTCCTCTCCCTCATTAGACGCAATTTCCATTCTAACTTCTTCTCGTCCTCGATTGTCTGGCGTCTTAAGGGATCTTGTTCCGCTTCCCACTCCTTAATTACGGCTTCCTTCTCCTTTGGGGAACCATACAAGATGGGCTCTTCCTCCTCTCCCAGAGATAAGTTAGCTACCCACTCAGAGATCTTCTTTTCCAGCCTTGATTCCTCCTTCGTGCCATTGGACTCACCTCTCTCCTTCATGCGTCTTCTCTCCAAGGGCTCCTCCTTTTCCTCCTCTTTTTCTACCTCTTCTTCTTCTACTTCCTTCATCCTCTCTTCAACCTCCTTTTTCTCAGTCTCTCCATCTCTTCCTCCAACTTCTTCATCTTCGCCGCATGCTCCTGCTGTAAGGCCAACTTTTTGGCCTCCCTAATCAACTCCTTCTTGGCCTCCTCTTTCCTCTCTTCAAGTACGGCGGCGGCTTGCTCTTCCTGAGCTTTTGTATAAGGGGTGGTAGTCTTGCCAGTACGTGTCTCAACCATGGTGACAGGTGCACAACCGGATGATAGTTCCGCTCCTCACCACTTAAGCTCACAAACCTGCCTGACTCAACCTAGGACAGACTCAATCTAAGGACCGCAGAATCTTAACAAAATCCTGTCAGCTATGGTCTCTAGCCTGACCCTAAACTAAGGCTGTCACTGCATGACTTACTGCTGATCAGGAGGCATTTAAGGAGATCCCCCGTAACTCCTCAGGAGTTATATAACGTCGCAGACAGGGCGGCGGGATCAGCAAGTCCTCTCAAGACTTAGACAGCCTGTTGTGCAGCCCACAGCTCGGAATTTGGGCCTACCGTGCCACACCGAGCAGCCCGCAGATCAGTACCGGTCCTTGGGAGGGTTCTTGTCCTCCGGGACAGTCGAGTCGTCAGACACGGCCTTTAGCCCTACTCAGCCCGTGTGGGTTTGGTCAACAAGGCTACATCCTTCATACACAGAGTTCCTATCACCTGGACAGAAGAGACTCAATGCAGAAAGAAGAGACAGACAGACTCAGCAAGTACCATGGGGTGAGTGCACATCCATAGGCGAGGGGGTAGGCTGAAGGCTTGGCGAGAATATACCAACTCCAGCTTGGTCAATTTCGTGGTCAACAGCCCCGGTCAACGCTGGTCAACGCTTGGTCAACTCGCCGATCAACACCTTGGTCAGCACCAGTCGACTTGCCGGTCAAAGTCTTGGTCAACGCTGGTCAACTCTTCGGTCAACACCTTAGTCAACCCTTGATTCGGCTATGGCTGCTGGCACCTTTCTTCCTCACCAACCTTCCTTATCCTCCTCCTCCCTCCTTCCTTCTTTCTCTTTCTTCCTCGCTTCACCTCGGCTATGGCTTCCTTCACTTTCGTTGTCCCTCCTTTCTTCTTCCTCGCCTATGGTTTCTCTCTCCTTTGTCCCTCCTTCCTTCTCCTTCACTTCACCTATCTCTCTCCTTCGTGATATGGCCGCTTTCTTCTTTGGACCGCACAACAATCTTGTATCGCTCCTCTCTCTCTCTCTCTCTCTCTCTCTCTCTCTCTCTCTCTCTCCGTCGTTGTCTTCTGTGCAGGTACTCAGCACCTCGCTCCGCAGCGCAGCTATGGCTGAACTTCTTCGATGGTGCAACTTGGCTATGGCGCCTAACTGGGGCGCACATCTCCTTCCGGCTGGCAACGAGGATGGCGCGTGGGGTAACGGGAACCAGCTCCAATACCAATGCAATCAGACTCACTTTCTTCCCACTTCGCACACATGCAAACAGATGGAGACTCACACTGGCGCAGGGTGCCCTCTCAAAGCTTAGAGATATGGAAATCAAGAACACAGTTGAGATGCAAGTTCTCTTCAACAGGCTATGGTGCATCAGCGCCCGAACATCCCAACCTTCGTCACTGTGTCCAACCCCACTGTTCACACACGCTCACTCTGGATCACCCTGAATACCACCACACACATACGCTATGTCTACTTCCTCCCACGTACTGCCACTACTGATTATGGCTACGATCTCCCTTCAGCCCAGTTCGTCTTCGGGCAACCTGCAGACCACCTTCGCACAAGACGCTGTAGTAGCACTTCCGCATGGCTTACGCAGCAAATGAATGAATGGCTGGGCTCTGCCTCTTGATTTATACTTCTGTAACTCGTTGGTCTGCCCCTTTCCCAGGCCCTTGGTGCACACAGTCCCACACGGTACTTGCTTGACTGGACCCTGACTGACTGGGACCGGTGCCGCTGACTGCATGGGTTTGCACTGCCAACTCGATGCAGTCACACTCCCAACGTAACGCGGTTGGGTCACCACTTGCCCAGTTGCCTCTGTCTAAAGGCCCACCACTTGCCCACTTGCCTCTGACTAAACGTGGGACACTTCGAAAAGCCACTTCCAGACCTTCCGGAAGGTTGTGGACTTGGCCTTTCGGGTACTGTAGCAGCTACAACCTTTACCTTTCAGGACTGTAGCAGCTACGACCTTGACCTTTCAGAGCATCCACAGCCACGACCTCTACAGAGCTGTGACTCCTAATCGATAGATCTACAGATCAAACCCCTACCGCTACACGGACCTACGACAGACGAAAAAACAACTGCCAAAACACAGATCACGGGTTCAAACACTCAGGGGTCGACTCGATACTGTACATGGGCAAAGTGAGGTCTGGGGATTGAACTCTAGGGCCCGCATCCGTGACTGCCGCCCATAAAGGGATGGAGGCCAAAGGCAACTTACCTAAGACAGAAAATACCTCCAGCAAGAGGGCACCAACCCAACCCTCCAAAGGTCCGCAAAAAATTGGAGAGCCTTCCGCAATAGCCCACAAAACCATGAACTCAATTACTCGAGGGCGACACAAGCACGACAGCACTGGCACTACTTTCATCCCAAACTCCCCATTCACGTTACTACCAAAGGGGTGGAAGGTAAATGTTAACTTACCTAAGACAGAAGCAAGAAAGCACCGACCCAACCTGCCAGAGGCTCGAAAAAACTTGGAGAGCCTTCCACGCCGACCCACAAAACATACATTCCCCCCCAAAAAAGACTCATGGCCACCCATAAACATCCAGACAGCCCATGCTCTTAGGCAGGGCAAAAAATTATGTGTGTGTGTGTGTGTGTGTGTGTGTGTGTGTGTGTGTGTGTGAGAGAGAGAGAGAGAGAGAGAGAGAGAGAGAGAGAGAGAGAGAGAGAGAGAGAGAGAGAGAGAGATTATCATGGGTGTATGCTGCATATCGAATCAAATTGTTAATTTGGTACTGGCCACCTTTCAGCGAACGGAAGCTTTTTTCTGGTGCGAGGGAGACGGAGAGAATAGATGGACGGGAAGAAGGAAAACAAAATGGAAAGGTAACTAAACACAACCGAAAATGGCAAGTGGAATTTTCCTCAATGTCGAGCTGTTGCCGCTGTTCAAATCTAATAATTGCAACAGAAAACAAGAAATGGATTTCTTCTCAGTGTCAAGCTGCTAGAATTTATTACAAAGACTTTCACTCCGAGGTTTTTCGTGTCTGGCTGTCAGAAATGAACAGTCTTCTTAAGTGGGACTGTTGCATACCGTAAAGGCGCAGACCAGAACAAGAACCGACCTCTCTCACATAGTACAAGATAGCGCAGCGGAAGGCTAATATACCAATGATCCGAACAATCAATGTTGCAATGCAGACCAAACATACATCATCATCATTCCATGATGTGAAGGGGCCTGGCACTCACACAGGAAGAATGCGCCAGTCCCCAACCATACACAGACGAAGAAGAGGGGAAGATGGGAATGTCGTCAACACCAAGTTTTCGGTGCAGGTCCCAAATAATCCCTCGTCCAATGTCTCAGTCTCAATGTGGAGTCTGGATCCAAATGTCGTCAAGTGCCAAAGTCACCAATCTCTCTCTCTCTCTCTCTCTCTCTCTCTCTCTCTCTCTCTC